AACCACTGTTATGACAGTCTCATCATCTCTTTGACTCTCTATCCCTCACTACTTGCCCTTGGTACCCTCGACTCAGGTTGTCACGATCTTGTCTCTGAAGCCAGACACAAATATGCGTGCCTTGTTGACCGGGGTGTCAGGGTCAAACTGTTGTGGATCCTCTCCGCATGAGCCTCATAAAATATGACAGGAGAGTTGATGCCCTCATAAACTCGCGTCTAACAAAGACACCGTTGAATACAATTTGGGTCTGTGAAAAAAGAACCCGCAAAAAACTGTAATTAGGAAGAACTTACTGACTGATGGTTTGACACCAAGTGAACAAGTGCAAACAGGCACCGTGATCATAGTTTACCATGATGAGATGTGTCAAATTGAAACATGTATATGGAGCAAGTAACAGATCACTAGATTACAAGATGTTGTAACCGCTAGATTAAGGTTAGATATAAGTACCCTCTGTATTATGTTTCCTCAAGCAGATGTAAACAAAACTAAATGTAAGGAGTGTGTACATACTTATTTTTACATATTTACTAAATCTCGACTTGTGTGAAGGAATGAACAGCACAGGACAGGTCAAGCACACTGTGTGTGAAATAACAACACTTCATCTCTATGGCAAGATAGCCGACATAGTAAGATTGTATCCACTTTTTTGCACTCTGATAACTATATCGGTTCTCATGTACAGAACCAAATACGCAATGTGTGAATACCTTACGTAAATGTGAATAATAACAAAGTGTGAGGCCAGACATACTTCCTCCACACGCCTGTTCTCACGCATTTTGTGAATAAGATTACCTTTATGTATAGAACTAAACAAATAATGTAAATGAAATACTGTGTAACTTTCGGTGCCATAATATCCTGACAACCGGGGTTCATTAATATGACCCTTTGTAAACCCCTACTCTGTAATCCTTTGCGCTACCGCTCACCCAGGATGAATTTAGGGTGCACAATAAAAGTAACCCATTGGTGGATGAGTGTCTAACTCAGTAGGGCTATTTGTGTGGTCGTTGGGAAGTACCCCATGGTGGCAGGACCCCATGGCGGGTGCTTGAGTATCACTCCTGACTACTGAGTGTTGTAGTGGCAGTTGCCCCTGGTCTTAATGGTGCTAAGTTACTGTAATAGTTTGTGTTATTGAGTATGTCCACCCAGTAGTGGTGTGAGTGCTATTGAGTATGTCCACCCAGTATTGGTGCGAGTGTTATTGAGTATGTCCACCCAGTAGTGGTGTGAATATGTTGAGCCTGAGGGCATAGTACCAGATTTCGTCTGTTGGTACATATATTCTTTCTCCTACCTCCATATTAATGTTTAAATAAATTTTGTATTTGTATATTGTGTCTTATTTACCTACAGTGTCTACCGTTATTTCTTCCCTATTACATGATACTATCATTACATATACCCACGAGCCTCCTCTCGTCACGCTACCAATGGTTATAAATATTAGAGTAAAGAAAATTGTTATAGGAGGCACAGGCCCCTATACCAGAGAATTTGAAAAAAAAAGTAGCTATATTGTAGAGAGGAGGTGGGCGCCTCGAACTGGTTAACTCCGTTACCGATAAGGGCAAATGGTTTCAGTCTCAATAAACAAGAATTTACAGATGCCAATGCTCTAAGGTACGGTAGGCCAGTAGAAGATTAGCCCTCCCAATGCGTGTGTGGCTCTTCCTATGACGTCGGTCACGCCTTGGTGTACAAGAAAGGGGGCTTCATATGCATGAGGCATGACGAAGTAAGGGATCTCAAAGCAAATATGTTGAAGGAAATCTGCCGTGATGTCAGAGCAGAAACGACTCTCCTTCCATTGGACGGTGAGATTTTCCAACATCGGACTTCAAACACATCCAACGAAGCCCGTGTTGACCTCAGTGCTCTAGGATTCTGGACGCGGCGACAGTGAGCCTTCTTCGGCATCAGGATTTTTGATCCCATTGCCGCATGTAAGTTAGCTCTCGATGCTGCACACAGGAGGAACGAGAACGAGAAGATAAGGGCATATGGGGAGAAAATTTAGAATGTTGATCAAGGCAGCTTCATTCCTCTAGTGTTCACAACCTCTGGTGGGATGGGACCAAGTGCAAGAGGTTTCTACGCTAGACTCACGGAGGTGATATCCGAACAGAAGCAGCAGCCCAGAAGTTATGTTACAGCCTGGATGAGATGTCGACTGTCCTTCTCTCTCCTTCGGTCGGCTTTGCTTTGCCTCAGGGGAACGATAGCATCGGCCCCACAGCCGACAATAGTTGTAGATATTGACTGTGAGGCTACAGTCACTGAATGCCGCATAGATCTGCGGCTCAACTAACCCAACACAGCTAGGATAGCTACTTATGCATTAGGATATTTAATATTAAGGTAACAAAATGGTGGCGAAGGTATGGCTATTAGGAGGGGGGGGGGAGCTGGAGGCCATATTTCTCAAAAGTAATAGTAGTAGTAGTAGCCAGCCCTCCCTGGCTCACACACCACAACTTACCCTCCCAGGCTCAAACTACGACCATCTTCCTCTCCCATTGCTCTCCCCTCCCAGCTTGATACCATGGCTGGCAACTGTGGGTGTCCTTGCTCTGGCCAGAATTAGAAATGCACAGCCTGTATTTGTGTGAGAAAAAACATAATTTCTCGAGGTTGTAGGAAAGGGACCAGCTGTCAACTTCCTTGCACACGGATCCGTCACCCGAGGACGAAATCCCGCACGATAGCAGTGAACCCACTCAGTCGGAAATTACTGTTGATGAGATGAATGACACACAGCCATCATTTTTGGAAAGGCATGTCGGGGGAAGAAGCAGAGAATAGGGTCAAAGAAATCTACTCAGAAGTTGTCAGGTGGTCCCCAGTTAACCTGTTCAAACCACCTAAGTGTGGGTCCACCAAAGCAATGATAAGGGAGATGATTCGTCCCATACACAGTTACACTCTAGACAGCTCCCTGGCCCCAAATACTCTCCATATACTGGCAATAATAACCCATCTGTTTTGTCAGAGAACGCACGCAAGGAGTAAGTGCTAGGAAAATGTGGCAGTTATGAAGAGAAGACAGACAATATGTCAGAACAGGGTGCTTGATGATTTCCTATGCTAGGCAAGAACACTGCAGGAGAAACTAAAATTCTCAGGAGACAGAAAGCAAGTCACTGAGGATGTTGCTAGAAAGTTTGGGAACAAGATGCGAATGGGAAAAGTGTCCTTGGCGGTAGGATCTCTCACAGAGAAATTTTCAGGTGGTGTGCTGCCAATAAACAGAGAAACCTTAAAGCAACTGTCTAATGTTGCTAAAACGGAGCCACATGCAGCGTTTGTGACATTCACCTAGAGTCAAGAATCGCTGGAATTACCTAATGCGCACTATCCCTGTTACCTGACCTCTCCTCCACCCCTCTGGAACAAGCCATCTGAGTCACTTTTATTCCAATACTAGTAAAATGCTTTCATTTCACCCCAGCATAAAGGTCACTCTTTGCACTACCACCGAGACTGCATGGGAGGAATGAGAATGATTACTCCAGAGAAGTGTGCTGCCACCGAACATCAGAACTCAGTCAAGCTCAAGGTAGCCCTCACTAAGCACATAGTAGCTCAGTATGCAGCAAGTCAAGTGGATACCAGCAAATTAAACATTGTTCAACTTTCCATGACGACAGAACGACAGCACATCCAAAGTGATAAACTGTAGCAACTGATGCAGCAATTGCTAGAGAACCTGAAAAAAAAGCGGAAGGCTTCAGCTTTAACAAACAAGAATTCACAGATGCCATTGCTCTAAGGTTTGGTGGGCCAGTACAAGGTTTGAACACCCATTGCGTGTGTGGTACATCCTACGACATCAACCATGCCATGGTGCGCAAGAAGGGGGGCTTTGTATGCATGAGGTATGACAAATTAAGAGATCTCACAGCAAATATGCTGAGGAAATCTGCCACAATGTCACGGTGGAACCGGCCCTCCTTCCGTTGGACGGTAAGAATCTCCGTCACAGGACTTCCAACACATCTAATGAAGCCTGTGTGGATGTCAGCGCTCAAGGATTCTGGACACGGGGATAGCGAGCCTTCTTTGATGTCAGGATATTCGACCCCATGGACGTATGTCACTGTAACATATATATCGAGGCTGCAGACAATAAGAACGCCCTGTGTGCATAGAGAATTCAGAATGTGGACCAAGGCAGTTTCGCTCCTCTGGTGTTTACAACCTCTGGTGAGATGGGACAAAGTGTAAGATGCTTCTATTCAAGACTCGCCGAGGTGTTATCTGAACAAAAGCAGCAGCCCAGAAGTTACGTTACAGCCTGGTTGAGATGTCGACTATCCTTTTCTCTGATCAGGTCTGCATTGCTTTGCCTCAGGGGAATGAAATCTTTGGCACCAAAGTCAACACCAGTCGCAGATATCGATTATGAGGCAATAGTCATCGAATGCCGCCTAGATCCACGGCTTAACTAACTCAACACAGCTAAGGTAGCTACTATTGTATTAGGATATATATTATTAAGATGATAGAATGGTGGCGAAGGCGCGGCTATTTGGGGAAGGCTGGAGGCCACGTTTTATTTAAAAAGTTGTAGTATTCCGGGCCCCGCCTCGCCCCGCCGCGGCCTCGCCCCTGCGGCTGGTGGTCGCCAGTTATCTCTTTGAACCACCCAAGTGGCCACCTGCCAGATCCAGGAGATGACTCTGTTCTCTTCATAACTGCACAATACAATCATGACAGCACCCTGGCCCCATTAGGCTCCTCAAATACTTAGGATTATAATTATCCCATCTTATTCTGTCAGCGACACATGCTAGTCCATGCAAAGCAAACATGGCAATTAAAAGGAGATTATTGTGCAGGCATTTTGGATTATCTCCTACACTTAAAGCCAAAGAACACCTGAGTGAGAGTCTAAATTATAGGAGACGAAAATTGTGAGGGATGTCAGAAAATTTGGCAACAGATGTGTGAGGAAAGTCCCTGGCGGTAAAAGATTCTAAAAGGAATTTTCCGGTGGTATTCAATAAATAGAGAGAGAGACATTACAACAACTGAAGGAAACATCCTCTGCAAGTGAATAGGAAGGCATCAGGTCCTTAGGAGGTTTCATATCCTCCTAATGTTGTTATGTTCGGAGAAATAACTGGAGGATGGTAGTGAAAAAGCACTGAAAACTCTGGTAGTCTTTCTGTGTGGGCCTGGGATGCAAAACGGTTGAGAGTTTGCCTGCAGCACTAACATTGTTTGGCTCCTCAGGTATAGTGATCTTGCAATGCCATTGTTGCACTTTGCAAGAAAGTTGCATCTGTACTAATAACACCATGTTTGACGGCTCAGTTATTTCATTCCCGGATAAAACCAGGATGTAGGCCTGGAGGCGCGAGGGTGATCATTGAAAATGGCCGAGGCAACAGATGTCAGGGCAGCTGCAGGAACCTGCAAAGGGGCGCTGGCCACCAGGCCGAGGAAGCCGCCATTCACGCCGCGAGAAAGGTGATTTGAGCAGTGATTGTGAGGCAGTACGTGGTCGACGCTTTCCAACGCATCTGCTAAATATACTTCAACCTGAAGGCCACACTGCACAACATCAAGATCATAAGTCGAAGCTGGTACGTATGTTGAAAACACCTCTATAGAAACCCATCAGAATCTCTTTATAACAAGCTTCAAGGCCTTAAAAAGAGAGCACACCATACAGTCAACGAGGGAACACAAAATGCAGGGGGACCCTTGTCGCTGGCATCAAGCTCTAGGCCTGTTCAGCTCTAACATACACCAAAATATGAAACAACCGAGTGTCGGGCATGGGTGGCATACGCTTGATGACCCAACAGAGCAGGAAAAGTGTAGAAATAAAAGTAGTGGGGACCTGGTAATACGAGTGTCCACAAATAGGCACATCCAAACGCCAGCGAGTCTCACCTCATTAGGAAGCTAGAACACCATGAACGGCAACGGAGTCGTTCAGTGGAAGTGGAGGTCGAAATATCGTATGATACAAAAGCATTATTTAGGTGCGGTGTAATTGGCATGGAGGACTTCATTGAAAGTATGTAACGGAAAGGTGGAATGAGTGGGGTTGGCGGGAAAATCCAAGCTCTGCTCAGATATTGGCAAAACAGAGCCACCGTTGTTCTTGCGTAAGCACTCACCATGGAGTCACATCGTTGAATTCACCTGATGCGCAGTATCCTGATGTCGGGTCTCTCCTCCACCCCTGGAAGAAATATCACTGTTTTTTATCCCAGCTCGAACAGCGAAAAACCCTTACCACCCTAACAGAAAGGTCGCCCTGCACCTACCTTCACTGAGACTTAGGAGGAATGGATTGATTCATCGGCAGAGTTTGTTCGTACAGAATATCAGAACTCTGTCAAGCTCACTACAGCTCTACCGAGCACATTATAGACGGAATACAGTAAATAGGTGGATAACAGCGGAATTCAAACAAGATTCGACGGTCTATTAATATGACAGAGAGCGGCAGTAATCTTAAAGTAGATAAACTGCAACAACTGGTGCCAGTAAATAAAAGCAGAGAACGAAAAGAAGTGCGTATTATAGTGCAGGAGGTAAGGCAAGGCCTCCAAACTGTTAACAACGTGCTGTATGATATAAGCAGAAGGTTTATCCTTAATACAAAGAATTCGATAGATGCTATTTACATATAGAAAATAGTGTTTCCTCCCAATGCGTGTGGTGGTCCATCTTACAACATCGACCATCGCCATATGTGTATTAAAGGAGGCTTGCATGCATGAGGTAAGGCGACGAAGTGGTGATCTAACAGCAAATCAATTGAGGGAAAATACAGAGCGCTAATACGTCATGCGGTGGAACCGTTCTCTATTGGACGTAGAGAACCTCCGTCATAGGATTCTCAAACACATCCAAACGAAGCCAGGTAATTATTGGGGTGGTCGAGGATGCTCCGGACGCGACAAAATGGAGCCTTTTGACATACCGCGATTTCATCCTATGGCTGGAAGTTCATCGCAACCTATTCCTCGGATGCTGTATACAGGATGAACGTGAGAACGACAAGATACATATGGGGGAAAGAGAATCTAAATTGCCGGATCAAGGCGGAAGCTCAATTCTCTGGCGTTCACAACCGCTGGTGATGGAACTGGCGTGCGAGATGCCTTCTTCACGCCAGACCTGGTGGAGGTGTTATCTGAACGGAAGCAGCAGCCCAGTTGGCGCAAGCTGCTGCGCCTGGTTGAAAATGTCGACGTCCTTTTTCTTAGGTCTGCATTACGGTTCAGGGAACGAGAGCATCGGGTTCTAAAGCTTTACGGTAACAGTCAAGATATCGACTCTGAGTAAGCAATAGTCACCGAATGCCGTAGTTATCTGGTGGCTCAACTAACTCAACAACAGCCAGGTAGCTACCCTATGTACAGGATAGTTGACCCTGGTTGGGTAAATAAAATACCTATGTATGTATATTGGGGGAGGTTGGAGCGCACGTTTGAAAAAAAAAAGTAGTAGTAGTAGTAGTAGTATCACTTTGATAATTAGGATAATTACTATTATTATTAATATTCCTGTCAGATGGATCATCCCGACCCAATCTTTCATTATAAAACGAAGTCATTTAAAATAGTTGGGCGGTGTGTGTACAGTACACTGGGGACATTGGTGGAGGGGGAAGAGGGTTGTGGCTGATAAGCTGCCACATATCTGAAGCATGACCGATCTGATAGTGGAGATAGTGGCGACGCTTCACCACTCCCTCACTCACTTACTCTCTCACTCACGCCATCATTCTGTTACTCTCAACAATCTTCTAGTAACCAAGCACTGGAGGAGAGTGTTAGTCACACAGCAGTGATCACAGAAGACAGTTGTTCGATTAACAAAGGATGCGTTCTCAGAGTGGCGACCACAGGAGTTGAAGGAAAGTGGCTTATCTGAGGAGGTGGTCGACGTTACCTGCGGAATATTCATCACGAGTTGCGATAGTGCCAACTTGCGCCATGGTGATCTCCATCAACCCGCAGGTATAGTGGCACTGTGCAAGGCAAGATGTTCCTTTATGTGATGGGGCTTGTGAACAAAAGTTAATTCAGAAAAGAGCAACAATGAAACACCAACAGAAGGAACATTCTAACACAGAAGAAAATAAGGTGAGTTACTGTATAGACAAGTATGAATCCAGTTTAAAGGAAGGTGTTGTAGAGGATTATACCTTTCTCTGAAAAGGAAAGTTAAGACACACGTCGTGCAGGAGAGAGGAAAATAGAACATGTGTATTAGAGGAAAGAAAGGAACAGTGAAGACACATACTGTAGATATAGGAAAGCTGAAAGTTATGATACATTTGAGAAAAGAAAGTAGAAAGTTAAAATAATATTAACAGAGAAATGAAGAAAACCTAGAAACTGTGTTCTAGAGGAGAGAGAGTAGTAACAGTTGAGACACTACTTACAGTTATAGTGAAAAACTTAGGACAAACGAAGTGGAGGAAATTACGCGTGACAAGGCTCCTACGGGAGGTGAGACAGCATCAAGGGCAGCAACAATAACAGCAGGAGTAGCAATAACAACAGCACGAGCAAGATCAATAGGCGGATGGTTAACGCAGGGGCGACTTCAATAGTGGGCGGAGGAATACGGCGGGATCCTTCCATCAGCAGGCCGCGGGGCAGCATGTTCAGGAGGGTCCTCACCACCGTCGGCATCGTCTCAAAAGGTCAGTACCTGGAACGCTCACCCCAACCCAGGGTAATTACATACTGGTCAATAAATATACCGGATCACCTGAAAATTCGTCCTCTTCTAAATTTATTTCACCTGAAGTTTAACAACATCTGGAGGGGTTTAGATTAAATAATGTTATGTTATGTTGGATGATGTTAGCGTTAGGATGGTTTGTCCTAAGGTGAAGTAAGCTGGGGATGAATCTTCAGGTGAGCTAATACACCGGTGAATATAAAGTTAACAGTTCTCATTGTAATAATTATAATCAGAATCATCAGTGTCGTCATCTAAAGTTGCGTCAATAGCCTAGATTGGTGGATAATGAACAAGTGCAATACGTATGTAAGTGTCAGGGGCGATGCATGACTGTGACCATCAGAAAGGAACACACGACACACCTGTCATGCATAAAGCATTAAAAGTGAGTTTTCACGTTTGTCATAGTGAAACTGCACATCTGTTGTTTATTACTTCAGTTTTAAGGTTACATAATACACAAAGTGGCAGTATCGTAGACAAATTATCTTTACATGTTTTTATATTTTGGTTTGTGTTTGTGTTTTCTCTATGAGAGCAGATATTCCTTGAACCTTCAAGGAATGGTGGACCATTGCCTGATCGCCAGGTAAATCCTAAAATTAAGATTTTCTGTCATTTACGATGTGAAAGTACCTATACATCTATCAAAGGTAGTTGGCAGCAGGCAGCTATCAAACAGGAGTACTACCACCTGAGAAGATATTGGAAGCATAATGTGTTGTCTAATGGTAGACCCTGCTGCCATATGGCATCACAGAAATTGTGATCAAGTCCCATGTTGCTGATCTGACTGACTTTCTGCCTCATTTACACACAATTGCAGGGTTTCAATGTTTCTCATACTTTGACAACATAACATATATATAATTTCTTTCCATTTCTGTATTTATTTATGGTTCAATTGCCCCTTCCCCGATGCGGGTCGGTGACCTATGCCCGGCTCGGCAAATCCCTGTAAAAAAAAAGGATGTCTAACCAGTGACCCCGCGGACTGGATCTGGCCAGCAAGCATTCTCAATGGTCACCCTCCTTAAATCAAGGCGCCAAAATGCATGCCATTGTCGCATCCGAGATATCAATTTTGCTTTTATATGTTTAACTTTTAACATCGATTTTGTTTTAATATTATACCTTTTTTGTTGGATGCTAATGACTACTTACATAATGTTATAAAGTATCCGATAATAATTTATCAGGACTGGGAGGAGATGAGGAGGACGGAGGAGTTAGATACGTTCTTTATGTTGGATATAAAAGATATTCTGCATAGTTAACTGTTTTTGGACATATAGCCATCAAAGAATAAACACAGATCACTAAAATATAATTTATTGGCTTAACCTCACACCATTTATACAGTTGCGCGGTCCCCCAGTGCTGTGAGACGTTAAGTTTGACCCTCTTGCATAAAAAGGTTGATCACCACTGATCTATACCATATGAAGTGTTGCCGGCATTGTTTGTGTCTTGAAAATGGTCTGAAGAGGTACCCCTTCTTTCCTCTGTGCACGTCCCAAATGTGGGAAGCATGATGTGTTCATTTCTACTCTATGTGTCTGGTTGGTGGGGTGGAAGCTGTACAACTGCATGCTTTGAATTAATATATTATTTTTTATCTACAGAATACAAAAGTCATAGATTGTCGATCAACTGTTCACAAAATTACCATTGGTTATCTTATCATGGTGTACACTGTAAATCCTACACAACAGCAGCGACAACGCGCTTACCTCTCATTACTGTGGCATGAGTATGACATACTTAATGACTTGTCAAGTGTGACAGTACCAGCTATGACAGATTTTCTCCAGGTCTTCCGTTTACCTCCTATACTAACACTGCATCTATGTAGGATGTGTGTGTGTGTGTGTGTGTGTGTGTGTGTGTGTGTGTGGGAAGCCTCTGTGTTGAGTCACACAGACTCAAACGCAGCCCAACTCAAAAGGACGTGGCTACGATTACCCCCCGCAGGTAATGATGTGATGGGGAACTCTGCTGCTGTAACACTGATTCCTTCCTCTGCTTACTCCTGACTACTTCCTTCTGCTTCTCCCTTGTCTCCTCCTCCCTCCTGCTTTCTTTAATTTGTCCCCGCCCCTCTCTCCTGACTCGTGGGGTGCGTGAGGGGTAGCTAGTTGACACAGCTTAGTAGAAGAACGGCCGTCTATACTACCTAACATGCTTACTCCACACGCACACACACACACATATCCCTTGACATGTATTCTTTCTTTAACCGATACATTAAAAATACTTCTCAGGAGAGTGTACAGTAGAAGTAAGACTAATCTCCCTCTCTTGCACCACATATCAAGAGACGCTTAGTACACTGGTCCTCTCAACTCTCTCTAATCATCATCGTGACCTCATATGTCAGTTTGGGACAAGGCTGCTACACCATCCTCACTACTGCCGCATGCTGCCACCTGAGATCCCTACAAATTGGTGTTAGACAACAGAGCCATATGTAGCCCATACTACAACAACAGTCCCAATCCAACCATTGAAAAACTAACAAATTGATACATAGCTTGTGTGTTCACTCCTTACAGCATTTTTTTTGTACAGTAACTGCCCCGAAAGCCCCTGTTGAACAACCTTGCCATATACTGTATGTTATATTTGCACCACTTATGTCTTTGGTATAATTATTTTTCTTATGGATGTTGTATTTTACAATAACGTGTTAAACTGTGATTCTTCTTCTTCTTCTTCTTCTTATTATTATTATTATAATTATTATTATAATTATTATATATATATAATAATAATAATAATAATAATATACATAATAATATTATTATTATTTTTATTAATATTATTATTCCATCCCACCACACACACATACATAACTATTCACCCCCCACCCCCAACACATCTGCCAACCCACACCTCTCCCCACAACCCCAACACATCCACCAACCCACAACCTCCCCCCAACCCCCAAACACATCCACCAACCCACACCTCCCTTCAACCTCCTAACACATCCACCAACCCACACCTCCCCCTACCTCCTAACACATCCACCAACACACCTCCCTCCAACCTCTAACACCAACCCACACCTTCCCCAACCTCCAAACACATCCACCAACCCACACCTTCCTCCCAACCCTCTAACAATCCACCAACCCACACCTCCCCCCAACCTCCTAACACATCCACCAACCCACACCCTCCCCTAACCTCCTAACACATCCACCAACCCACACCTCCCCCCAACCTCCTAACACATCCACCAACCCACACCCTCCAACCTCCTAACACGTATACCAACCCACACCCTCCCCCCAACCCCTATAACATCCACCAACCCACACCCCCCAACCCCCACACATCCACCAACCCACCTCCCCCTAACCTCTAATACATCCACCAACCCACACCCCACCCCCAACCCTAACACATCTACCATCCCACACCCCCCAACCTCTAACATATCCACCAACCCACACCTCCCCACCTCCTAACACATCCACCATCCCACCCTTCCCTCCAACCTCCTAACACATCTACCAACCCACACCCTCCCCTAAACCTCCTAACACATCCACCAACCCACACCTTCCCTCCCCAACCTCCTAACACATCCACCAACCCACACCCTCCCCACCACCTCCTAACACATCCACCAACCCACAGCCTCCCTTAACCTCCACATCCACCAACCCACACCTCCCCCCCCCTAACACATCCACCAACCCACACCTCCCCATCAACCCTAACACATCCACCAACCCACACCCTCCCTCAACCTCCTAACACATCCACCAACCCACACCCTCCCCCAACCTCCTAACACATCTACCAATCCACACCCTCCCCAACCCCCAACACAACCTCCAACCCACACCCCCCCACCTCCAAACACATCCACCAACCCACACCTCCCAACCCCTAACACATCCACCAACCCACACCTCCCCCAACCTCCTAACACATCTACCAACCCACACCCTCCCCAACCCCAACACATCCACCAACCCACACCCTCCCCCCAACCTCCTAACACATCTACCAACGACACACTCCCAACCCTCTAACAATCCACCAACCCACACCTCCACTCCCAACATATCCACCAACCCACACCCTCCCCCAACCCCCAACACATCCACCAACCCACACCCACCCCACCCTTAACACATCCAACAACCCACAACCTCCCCCAACCCCAACACATCTACCAACCCACATCCTCCCCCAACCACCTGACACACCTACCAACCCACATCCTCCCCCAACCACCTAACACATCTACCAACCCACACCTCCTTCCGCAACCTCCCAACACATCCATCAACCCACACCCCACCTCCTAACACATCCACCAACCCACACCCTCAACCTCCAACACATCCACCAACCCACACCTTCCCCCAACCTCTAACACATCAACCAGCCCACACCTCCCCCCCAACCCCTTCACATCCACCAACCCACACCTCCCTCAACCCCAACACATCCACCAACCCACGCCCCCCACCTACTAACACATCCACCAACCCAAACCCTCCCTCCCCAACCTCTAATGCATCTACCAACCCACACCCCCCACCTCCTAACACATCCACCAACCCACACCCTCCCTCCCAACCTACTCAACACATACACCAATCCACCCCCCCCACCCCCAACACATCCACCAACCCACACCCTCCCACCTCCCAACACATCCACCAGTCCACACCCCCTCCCCCAACCAACCTCCCAACACATCCACCAACCCACACCCCCAACCTAATAAAACATCCACCAACCCACACCTCCCCACCAACCTCTAACACATCCACCAAACACACCTCCTTCCTGAACCTCCAACACATCCACCAACCCACACACACTCCCTCCCCAACCTCCTAACACATCCACCAACCCATACCCCCCAACCCCCAACACATCCACCAACCCACACCCCCCCCAACCCAACACATCTACCAACCCACACCC